TAAGTTTTTATTGTGATTCGACGAAAGTCCATATTATGTTCGGTGCTTACACCGAGGTCGAATTATCACCTGATCCAGTCCACTCACCAGTAGATGCCGAACTGCCAGAAATACATGAGGAGCTGGGAGGACTGGGTGTACTTGACATGATGTCAGACATGCAGCCATCACAATGGAAGGGATCCTGTAAGATCCACACGACTTCGGACGAAGGAAGTCCAAAGTCCTTCTTTGTTTTCTTATCCCTTCTCTTGTTGTGTTGGTTTAATGAGTTAGAAGTTGTTTCACTTTTTTCCCCATCCTCCAGCTCATGATCCTTTAGGGTTTTCACGATGAAATGAAGTCTCGGCTCGTCACTGTAAGATACTTTCTCAGCGCTTACTTTGCCATTTTCATCCACTGATAGGTACCACCCTTTGCCGTCCGTGTCGGAATGGCACGTACGAAAAATGTTGTAAAAGTTCTTTCCGAAAAACTCACGAAATACACATTCCTTTCTTTCAGCTTCCTTTAGAAACAGAGACAGAAATTAAAGGAACTATTAGGAAATTTCATTTGACAAAAATACGGAAAGAACACTTCTACCGCGAATCTCAAACGGTCCCTTAAGATTAATTCTTTGGAAGTTTAGAAGTATCGCTAGATTTCACGGTCTAAAATCAAAGAAATAAAGTAAAAGAAACAAGAAGAAGGTGGACGAGAAGAAGAAGAAAAACTGTCAACAACAACAACAGCAACAACAAAACAACAACAGCAGCAACAACAAGAGCCATGGCAACACTGACACAAGTTTAAACGGGGTTTCAGTACTTCATCATTTTGCAAAGACTTAAAATTGCTTGTGTACAGATCTATTTATTTATTTCTGAGAAAATTCTCATAGTAAAAACGTACCACACTTTTTTTGTAACTGTTCGAAAAACACATTTATACACATCACAAGTCTCGCCTGAAGGTCACCACAAAAACTTACCGTGGCGAAGATTTTTCCTTTGTTGTCTACCGCCAGATACTTTTTTGCTTTAAG